ATTTGTAAACTTTTATAACAGAAACAAAGAAAAATGTGTTTTTTTTTTCAAAATTTTTGGTCTTTTTTTGTTAATTTAGCAAAAAATAAAAACACCAGCGGTGATTAAATACCACCAAAAGAAAGCTCTAGTTGTGTAAAGAAAATGATCAAATTTTAGTTTGGGTACAATGTTGTATGACCGCGCAATTGTCATTCAAAGTGTGAGAGCGCTGAAACCTGAAAACTGGCCTGGGCAGGAAGGTGTAAAATTGCACGGTATTGAAACGGTTAATATTTATCTTAAAAAAAGAACTCACCCATCAGCACATCCCCCTACACAAAACACTATACAGCTAATAAAATTTTTAAAATCCTTACCATTTAGGAGAAAAGTCCAGTTGAATTTTCATGACCTCATTTCTGTAATTTAAAAGATAACAGCATCTGCTCTGCCAAGGAGGAGGTGTAACAGCCAGGATTACATCATATCCTCTTCTTTCTCTCTCTGCAGTAAAAGGAAACTACAGTTCCCATCAACCACAGGGAATAGTAGTGAATGTGGGCAGGTACACTAGGCCTGTACATGTTGAATTTGTCTGAGAATCTCGGTCTGCCCACCACTGCATGTGGGGCTGAATGACATCACTGCTTTCTGGGGAAAGAACTACAGAAGAAATGTGCCAAGACCGATGGCTGAGGGAATAGCAGACATTGGTCTCACAAACAGGAAACCAAAAAGAATTAACGCTTTGATTTGTCAATGAATAGGCTATTTCAGAGCAACTATTGAGTGCACCAAAAGATAGATGACATATTCAATGAAAGTAAGAAACCAGCAGCACAGACATTTAAAGAACTTTTTGCCTGGAGATCTGCTTTAAGATAAATTTAGCACTAATATATTAAACAGAATATATACTGAAACACTACAAATTATTGAAATAATGAAGTCTGCACTTCACTATACATGTAGGTTTTTTGTTTTTATATATATAAACCCAGTTTGGCATCAAGCTCTACCTGGCTCTTCTTTTTATTCTGGCTCAGATCTTAATGGATTGCTGTTGCTTGGAAAAATAAAAATAAATGCTAACGAGTGGATAAAAGTGACCCGTCACCACGTCACACAATGTAAGAAGGCCAACCCAGATAAAATTGAAGAGGTCCATCTCTTGTAACACACTACTGCGTCACTGATGTCCAGCCGTACACAATGGTTCCTTACATCATCTCATGTCCTGTAACAGATGACTTGGTTCTAAATCTCGCCATACACTGCCAAAGGTAAACCTTGTTTAAATCTGGCCTTACACTAGTAGAATTTAACTCGAAAAATTTTGTTTTAATAATGTTTGTTGGATTTTTCTAATCATTAGTGAGGTCAAAGCCACATTCATTTTTGACCACAGTGATGACAAAGGCCCAAGAAGAAGTGTAAAAAAAGTTCTCAAATTAATTTCTAACAGTGAACGTGGTTTTCATTTAGGAATATCCATTCACTCATTCATTACATTCAAAAATTTATCACGTCATCACATGTACTGATGAGAACTTTTATAGAATGTCCTTATAAACATTTGAAAATGTACTAGTGTCTAGCAAGTTTTATTTGGATGCCCATGTAAGCCAACACAAAAGCTCCTACTTGACCCCTCCACACCTACCATTGGTCAGTAAAGTTGCCTATTACATTAAGGTACCTACAGCAAAGTGTGAGAAGTGGAAGAACCAGACCAAAGTTCGACTTTCTCTGCTATAGACAGGATTTATATAGCAAAGCCAGTGGCGACATGGGTAACTTTAAAGTAGAATTCCAGTTTAAACCACACTATGCTCAAAAATGTTTCACCCACCCAGCTATGCTGCCTAAGCCGTGTAAAAAGATCTATATACATAGCTATCTTTAGTCCACTCCAGTCACATGATCCTGTAACTCCAGCTCTCCTGTGTCCAAGAGTAGCAACTGCAGGGGAGAAGAAATGTCAACAATGGCTGGGACATGGGAGCCTATGAGTGATGCCCCCACTCTTAGAATTCCCAAATTTTGTTGAGCTTTCCCCTGCAGCCACTGCTCACTGATACCAAGGATCACATGACCAGACTAAAATTACGCAAGTATACAGATTTTTTTTTTTTTCATAGGTTAAACAGCATAGGTAGCAGGAAGGGAAATTTTAAGCATAGTTAGTGTTAGGCTAGAATTCTACTTTAATTAGCTGGCCAACAATACTATGAACAGTAATAAATCTAACAGACTCAGAGTGCTGACCCCGTCTTGTATATTGAGTGTCACTGTGCATTAGAATATAGAAGGGAAGAGTGCTGCTGTGCAGTAGAATACAGGAGAAGGGAGAGTGCTGCTGTGCAGTAGGAAACAGGAGACCGGAGAGTGTGCTGCTGTGCAGTAGAATACAGGGGACCGGAGAGTGCTGTTGTGTAGTAGAATACAGGGGACCGGAGAGTGCTGCTGTGCAGTAGAATACAGGGGACCGGAGAGTGCTGCTGTGCAGTAGAATACAGGAGAAGGGAGAGTGCTGCTGTGCAGTAGAATACAGGGGACCGGAGAGTGCTGCTGTGCAGTAGGAAACAGGAGACCGGAGAGTGCTGCTGTGCAGTAGGAAACAGGAGACCGGAGAGTGCTGCTGTGCAGTAGAATACTGGAGAAGGGAGAGTGCTGCTGTGCAGTAGGAAACAGGAGACCAGAGAGTGCTGCTGTGCAGTAGAATACAGGGGACCGGAGAGTGCTGCTGTGTGCAGTAGAATACAGGGACCGGAGAGTGCTGCTGTGCAGTAGGAAACAGGAGACCAGAGAGTGCTGCTGTGCAGTAGGAAACAGGAGACCAGAGAGTGCTGCTGTGCAGTAGGAAAAAAGAGACCAGAGAGTGCTGCTGTGCAGTAGGAAAAAGGAGACCAGAGAGTGCTGCTGTGCAGTAGAATACAGGGGACCAGGAGAGTGCTGCTGTGCAGTAGGAAACAGGAGACCAGAGAGTGCTGCTGTGCAGTAGGAAACAGGAGACCAGAGAGTGCTGCTGTGCAGTAGGAAACAGGAGACCAGAGAGTGCTGCTGTGCAGTAGGAAACAGGAGACCAGAGAGTGCTGCTGTGCAGTAGGAAACAGGAGACCAGAGAGTGCTGCTGTGCAGTAGGAAAAAGGAGACCAGAGAGTGCTGCTGTGCAGTAGGAAAAAGGAGACCAGAGAGTGCTGCTGTGCAGTAGAATACAGGGGACCGGAGAGTGCTGCTGTGCAGTAGAATACAGGGGACCGGAGAGTGCTGCTGTGCAGTAGAATACAGGGGACCGGAGAGTGCTGCTGTGCAGTAGAATACAGGGGACCGGAGAGTGCTGCTGTGCAGTAGAATACAGGGGACCGGAGAGTGCTGCTGTGCAGTAGGAAACAGGAGACCAGAGAGTGCTGCTGTGCAGTAGAATACAGGGGACCGGAGAGTGCTGCTGTGCAGTAGAATACAGGGGACCGGAGAGTGCTGCTGTGCAGTAGAATACAGGGGACCGGAGAGTGCTGCTGTGCAGTAGGAAACAGGGGACCGGAGAGTGCTGCTGTGCAGTAGGAAACAGGAGACCAGAGAGTGCTGCTGTGCAGTAGGAAACAGGAGACCAGAGAGTGCTGCTGTGCAGTAGGAAAAAGGAGACCAGGGAGTGCTGCTGTGCAGTAGGAAAAAGAGACCGGAGAGTGCTGCTGTGCAGCAGAATACAGGGGACCGGAGAGTGCTGCTGTGCAGTAGAATACAGGGGACCGGAGAGTGCTGCTGTGCAGTAGAATACAGGGGACCGAGAGTGCTGCTGTGCAGTAGAATACAGGGGACCGGAGAGTGCTGCTGTGCAGTAGAATACAGGGGACCGGAGAATGCTGCTGTGCAGTAGAATACAGGAGACCGGAGAGTGCTGCTGTGCAGTAGAATACAGGGGACCGGAGAGTGCTGTTGTGTAGTAGAATACAGGGGACCGGAGAGTGCTGTTGTGTAGTAGAATACAGGAGACCGGAGAGTGCTGCTGTGCAGTAGAGTACAGGGGACCGGAGAGTGCTGTTGTGTAGTAGAATACAGGAGACCGGAGAGTGCTGTTGTGTAGTAGAATACAGGGGACCGGAGAAGGCTGCTGTGTAGTAGAATACAGGGGACCGGAGAGTGCTGTTGTGTAGTAGTAGAATACAAGAGACCGGAGAGTGCTGCTGTGCAGTAGAATACAGGGGACCGGAGAGTGCTGTTATGTAGTAGAATACAGGGGAATGGAGAGAGAATACAGGCTGCTGTGTAGTAGAATACAGGGGACCGGAGAGTGCTGTTGTGTAGTAGAATACAGGGGAATGGAGAAGGCTGCTGTGCAGTAGAAATACAGGGGACCGGAGAAAGCTGCTGTACAGTAGAATACAGGAGACCGGAGAGTGCTGTTGTGTAGTAGAATACAGGGGACCGGAGAGTGCTGTTGTGTAGTAGAATACAGGGGACCGGAGAGTGCTGCTGTGCAGTAGAATACAGGAGACCGGAGAGTGCTGCTGTGCAGTAAGAGTACAGGGGACCGGAGAATGCTGCTGTGCAGTAGAATACAGGGGACCGGAGAAGGCTGCTGTGTAGTAGAATACAGGGGACCGGAGAAGGCTGCTGTGTAGTAGAATACAGGGGACCGGAGAGTGCTGTTGTGTAGTAGAATACAGGGGACCGGAGAGTGCTGCTGTGTAGTAGAATACAGGGGACCGGAGAGTGCTGCTGTGTAGTAGAATACAGGGGACCGGAGAGTGCTGTTGTGCAGTAGAATACAGGGGACCGGAGAGTGCTGCTGTGCAGTAGAATACAGGGGACCGGAGAATGCTGCTGTGCAGAGAATTATGGGATGCAGGTAAAAGAACACATACAGGTAATAATGTTCTTTATAAACACACTGACACTTGAAAGTCAAATGAATCACAGCCTCAAAATAAATCCTTTTTTTACTGTAATAAGTTACAAAAGCTGAAAACTCTTAGAAACATAACAGGTTTCAAATAAAAATATAAAATTATCTCCCACTATGCAGTCTCTGTATTGTGTTTTCCTAACCCTTTCCCTCTCTTCCTTTTCCTCCTCCTCTTCGTCTGATCAGGAGCCGCTGTGATAGGCCGAGTTGGCGTTTTTTTTCTTCTTCTTCAGGCAACTTAAAGGGTTGGGCCCTCCGACACGTTTCCTTTTTTTTCCTCGGCGTCCTGTGTCTTGAGCCACCCCCTGCTCATCCTTCAGATGCTCCAGATTCTGCTTCTGATGGTCGGGCACCAGCTCGCTGGCCTGTAAGGCCTTGACATGAGCCACGGATTTGGGGGAAGGCTTGTCCAGAACGATGGTGTTCTGAATGATGAACATCAGGGGGATGCCCGCTTTCTTCCGTACTTTGTTTCCGAGACTGTGATCCTGGGAAACAAGATTGAAAGACTAAGTGTATACTTGCAGTTGCGCTAATTACAATACTGTGTTATTTCTGGCCCACTAATCCTGCAGGTAGCTTAATGAAGTCTCACCAGATGAGAGCACAGGGGAAATGGGATACAATGCAGGGATTATCATATATTCCACTAAGCAGGTATGTTGTGCTTTGCAGAGCTGCTAATACACTGGGGATTAACATGCTGCGTGTTGATAAAAAGGAACAATACACCCAGAGTGATCAGCAGAATAAATAAGGCATTAACTTGGCTAATCAGATGTATCAATTAGACTAATATCTCATTTGTGGCATGGTGTGAATGTCAATAGGAACATGACTACACAGAGAACATGGAAAGATCAATCCATAAAAAGTGCCAATACGCTAGCTGTTAAAGGGAAACCATCATGGATTTTGGGCCAATTTTATTTTTATTTAATTTATTTTCAGCCATTTGTTATTGATACAGTTCATTCAATATTAAGTCTTTATTTCACATGTAAACATTTAAAATGATTGTAAACACTAGTTTTTAAATAGCAAACAGGTTTAGGGCTCATGTACACTGCTACTTGTAAATGTGAGTTTAGGAGCTTCTGGAGTTTTTTTTTTTTTTTTTTTTTTGCCAAAGCCCCTGAACTCAACCTAATAAAAGCCTATGGGGGTTATTTACTAAAGCTGGAGAGTGCAAAATCAGATGCAACTCTGCATAGAAACCAACCAACTTCCATGTTGTATTGTCAAAGCTTAATTGAACAAGCTGAGGTTAGAAGCTGTTTGGCTACCATGCACTGCTGCACCAGTTTTAGTAAATCTCCCCCATGTATCCATGCACCGCTGCACCAGTTTTAGTAAATCTCCCCCTATGTCTCCATGCACCGCTGCACCAGTTTTAGTAAATCTCCCCCTATGTCTCCATGCACCGCTGCACCAGTTTTAGTAACTCTCTCCCCCTATGTATCCATGCACCGCTGCACCAGTTTTAGTAAATCTCCCCCTATGTCTCCATGCACCGCTGCACCAGTTTTAGTAAATCTCCCCCTATGTATCCATGCACCGCTGCACACCAGTTTTCGTAAATCTCTCCCTATGTATCCATGCACCGCTGCACCAGTTTTAGTAAATCTCCCCCTATGTCTCCATGCACCGCTGCACCAGTTTTAGTAAATCTCCCCCTATGTCTCCCATGCACAGCTGCAGCAGTTTTAGTAAATCTCCCCCCTATGTACCCATGCACCGCTGCACCAGTTTTAGTAAATCTCCCCCTATGTCTCCATGCACCGCTGCACCAATTTTAGTAAATCTCCCCCTATGTATCCATGCACCGCTGCACCAGTTTTAGTAAATCTCTCCCTATGTATCCATGCACCGCTGCACCAGTTTTAGTAAATCTCCCCCTATGTATCCATGCACACAGGCTTTTAGCAGAATTTAGCAGCAGCAGAGTTTAGGGGCAGTTAAACATCCCTTTCCCGAACGTAGAAAAATTGCGTTTAGGAGAGGAACGTTTTGACCAAAAGACACCAAAAGCGGCAAAAACAAATGTAAACGTGCCTAAGCGCTAGCTGAGTTTAGAGCTCGGACATTTATTCATTTCAATGGCAAGTACTCTGGCAGAGGAAATGAATTAACATCCAAGTGCTAAACGCAGTGCCGTGTTTACACGTGTTTTTTCTGCTCTCAGTAGAGTTAACGTCTAAAGGCAGTTCCAGTGTACATGTAGCTAATACTTACCTGTGTGGAATGAGGAAAGAACAAACCGAGGGCGCACAGGCCTAGTGCATTACCATAAAAAATGTTTAATAAGAAATAAAGTAGGTGTTGTACTCAAACACGACAAAATCAAGGCACGTCATAAAAGAACAGCTGGGTCAACACCGCGCCAGTACCAGTCCACAATAGGGAGTGTAGACATCCAATAGGCCGACATGTATCGAGGACTTGCCTCTTCCTCAGAGACCCGATTCCCCTCTTTTCAGGTGTCCCACTGGCGCCCCTGCCTCTTCCTCTTCTTGGTCTGCCACCATAGGAAGCTGCTTCTTATCGTAGCACACGTGCAGGCTCGATCCCAACCTGCACTACCTGTGTCCCCGCCCCCAATTCCCTTATTACAGGATTTGACTGACAGCAGCAGGAGCCAATGGCTCCCACTGCTCTCAGCCAAGCAAGTGATAGCAGAGACGAGAACAGTGCTGGATCAAGTGAGGGCGCAGGTAAGTATAAGAGGGGCGAGGGGGCATACGGCTACCTAAACATTTTTTAGATTAATGCAGGGAATGCATTAAGGTAAAAAATGTTTAGGCTTTAGAGCAACTTTAATATACAGAGCACCAATGACACAGATTTTGCAAAGCATCCTGGGGTTTCTATGAAGACAGCATGGCAGTGGTTTAACCTTCATGAGTGTATCTAAAGTAGGGGTGCATTGAAATTTCAGCCACTGAAACATATCGACTGAAAATAGCCCTATTCTGCCAATAGGAAAAATGTAGCCATTACAGGGGATTGTGTGTACTGCAGATGTGGGGGGGGGGGGGGGGGGCGGCGGCAGAGAGAGGCAGGAGAGGAGCAGTGTATACACTGACTGGCTGTCACTATATATCGTGCCGCTTTTTAAATGTACTTACCTGCTTTTTTTTTCTTCTTCACTATAGCTCAGAGAATCAGCTGTCACTTTCCCCCAGCTAGAAGAAACAAAAGTTACCTTTTAGTTTATTTCACTGTTAAAAGAAACAATGTTTCCTTTCAGTTTCTTTCCCGAGATAAAAAACAAAGTTTCCTTTAGCTCTGGGAAAAGTGACAGCTAATTCTGTGAGCTAGAGTGAAGGGATTAAAGCCAGCAATTGCATTTTAAAATCGGCACCGACATATAGGGGTTTATTTACTAAAGCTGGAGAGTCCAAAATCAGACTCCCTTCTGCATAGAAACCAATCAGCTTCCAGGTTTCATTGCCAAAGCTTCATTGAACAAGCTGAGGTTAGAAGCTGATTGATTAGAAGCCGATTGGTTTCTATGCAGAAGGGAGTCTGATTTGGACTCTCCAGCTTTAGTAAATAAACCCCATAGTGACAGCTAGTGAGGGAGCCTCTCTGTATACACTGCTTCTCTCTCCAGCCCCCTCCTTGCACACACTGCCCCCCACCCCCTCCCCCCTACAAAGAGGACTTGCAACTCACATGAGATCACATAGGGGACTGGTACCCTGTGTGATAGCAATAAAATCATAAGTTAAAAAAAATAAAAAATATACATGAAAGTAGAAAAAAAAATGCAGCCTCCCCACCCCCACATACGCAGGCATTTCGTTTCGGTTCGGTTTTCGTCACATGCATTCTGAATTTTCAATATCGGTTTCAGCACCAGAATTTTCATTTCAGTGCACCACTGATCTAAAGCTGGTCAAACACCGTGCGAAATGAACTAAACCCCAAATTATGCAACGCCACCATATACAATAATGTGCATAACCCCTGGTCGCCAAGAAGTCCCTTCCCCCCGATAAATAGTAAATATCTCAGCATCTGATCAAATGAAAAAGTTCTCAATCAGTACCCCCAAGTGACTTCTTAATTCTCCAAAACTTGTATATTCTTAATTGATAAATCTTGAAAACAGTGACCTACTCTTCCTCTTTAATCCTCAAGGAAAATATATAAACCACACACAGTGCATTATCTTTGCCACGCAGTAAAACAAACTACAAACCACTCATATTAAAGTGTTCATAACCAACCAAACTCCACCAAGTGTCAATGTACGTCTTGTGTCTAATTCCTACTCTTACCCTCTAGATGTAGATTGCTCAAACATAAATTCCCAAGACGGGAATGCTTCCTCCAAAATTATTCCTCATGGACAACCATTTCCTCCTCCTCGTTTACACTAGCGGTAGCCTTCTGAAGCTCGATCAGTGGTGGATCAGTTTACATAGGGTGCATGACCTAAAAGGTCCACTCCACAACTATGTGCATTGTACGTAGTGGCAGGCCAGTTGAGGCGCAGCCCCTATTTACTTAAAAGGGTCTAATCTGGCTGCACGTTGTACCCAACAGAGGGGATCATTTTTGCTGTGCTGCAAAGCATCAAGGCCATGGAACATGTATACCCCTGTATGACTCAACCGCCTGTTTATAGTGCCCCCCCTACCCTCCCCCTCCCAACAGCAAGGGTAAACTAGGTCTTAGGGTGGTTACACTCACTCTTCCACTATCTACAAACCAGCAGGGTAGCCACCCTTGGACATTTTCTACCTGTGGTACAAGGAACAGACAAATATATTTTGATGGATTTTACATAAATGACTTTAGATTGTAAGCTCCACGGCCAGGGCTCTCAGATTCCTTCTGTACTGAAATGTATTGTAATTGAACTGTCTCCCTTTATATTGTAAAGTGTTGCACAAACTGTTGGTGCTATACAGTCAGGTCCATAAATATTGGGACATCGACACAATTCTAACATTTTTGGCTCTATACACCAACACAATGGATTTGAAATGAAACGAACAAGATGTGCTTTAACTGCAGACTGCCAGCTTTAATTTGAGGGTATTTACATCCAAATCAGGTGAACGGTGTAGGAATTACAACAGTTTGCATATGTGCCTCCCACTTGTTAAGGGACCAAAAGTAATGGGACAATTGGCTTCTCAGCTGTTCCATGGCCAGGTGTGTGTTATTCCCTCATTATCCCAATTACAATGAGCAGATAAAAGGTCCTGAGTTAATTTCAAGTGTGCTATTTGCATTTGGAATCTGTTGCTGTCAACTCTCAAGATGAGATCTAAAGAGCTGTCACTATCAGTGAAGCAAGCCATCATTAGGCTGAAAAAACAAAACAAACCCATCAGAGAGATAGCAAAAACATTAGGAGAGGCCAAAACAACAGTTTGGAACATTCTTAAAAAGAAGGAACGCACCGGTGAGCTCAGCAACACCAAAAGACCCAGAAGACCACGGAAAACAACTGTGGTGGATGACCGAAGAA